GCGTGCGCTCGCCAGACAGACAGAGAGAGACATAGAGACAGAAAGCGAGAAATCACCCCCCAGGGGGAATAGTCAGGCCACAATCCCTTCTCCACTTATCCCTGTTTTGGGGCACACACACACACACACACAGAAAGCTAGCATGGTTCACAAGTTACTGGGTCCAGGACTTGAACTGTGCAAGCGGTCATGTGGGAACCAGCTGCTTTAACTAGCATGCCACAGGCTGGCTCACACCTGTGTCATCAACACTAACAAATTCAAGTAGAAGTCACCAGCCTGATGTCTCAGATCCTACCAGGTCATGAACCTGCTGTGAACCAAAAGGACCTCGTTTCTTATCTTTTCTCCAGAAATATGGGCCTCCCTCCACATCCCCCTAGGGCATGGTGTCACCCATACCCTGCTGCCCAAGCCAAGAGCGGAAGATCATCCTCACTTCTCTCCCCTGAAGCTTCATCAACCTTGCTGCCTAAGCATCACTCACACTCCGCTGTCTCCGGGCCGTCTCACTTGCCTTTGCTACGGTCATCACCTCTTGCCTGGACCTGCCCTGCCCCTTTCTCCAGGGAGTAAAGGTGGCCAGGGTCCCCCTCTCCTGCGCCGTCCTGGCCGTGTTGCTGCGCTCCACCTCCTGCAACACCACCACTGCCTCAGGATACAGTCAAAGCTTTCTTGGGTCCAGCCTGGCACAGGGTGCAGCCAACTGAACTGCATGCTGGAAGACACACGGCTGACCCCAGGTTCAGAGCCCAGGATATCAGGCGTGTTTGCGTGCCTGCTGAGCTGGAGGGTTGAGGAAGGAGGAGTGCAGCATGACAAGACCTGCTGAGGGTGCACTCCGCCCCCCTCTCGTGCACACACATGCTCTTGATCATAAATAAAATCAATAATAAAACCGAGTAAAAAGCTTTCTCAGTTTTCCCAGGCCCTGTCTCCTCCCTAGCCTCATCTCTTCCCTCCACCACACTCCAGCTACACTGAACTCCTTGTGTATCTAGAGCACTCCACACTCTCCTCTGCTTCCGGGACTCCCCACGGCCTGTCCTCACTGCTGTCAGAATATCCCTGCCTATCTCACCCTACTTCTCTCCAGGCCTGATGGCTCTATTTCACCTCTCCAAGGAGTCCTT